GGTTGTCATTGTTGTCTTGTCTAGAGAACTGCGAGTTAGTTCGCACTTGTCGACCCCCTTCGCACTTGTCGATAAACCACATCTTACTCGTTTCGAGGGCATCTAGTTGGGTCGCAATCTTTCCGAACAGTTATCGTCTTCCCTCCGAACTTCTGTCTTTCCTATTCTTCACCCGATTGTTGTGACTTCGTGTGCATTTCGAACACCCATCTCTTACGTCCTTTTCGTCCTCCATTTCGTTAAGTCCGAGTTAGTTCGCACTTCGCTTCTGTAGTGGTCTGGGGTTTGGCGTATTAGTCATCCGAGTTGGTCTGAGGTTGGGCGTGCTAGTCAACGGGTGGGAATACAATGGCGTCCGCAAAGAACACATCCACAAGCGTTGGACCATCTGTTCCCGGGGAGGGACGACCTGTACAGCAACCTCCTCCTCAGTATATGCAGACAAATGGAGCACCATGGTTTTTGGACTTCGTTGTTCAGGGGGACCTTTTTGGGCCAGCTGTTTTCATGCGACCCATTTGCGTTACAGACGCTGGGGGAGTGGTCAACGTTGTTCCTCTCGGTACCGTCGTCTCGTGCGCAAACACTCCTGGAGGTTTGCTCAAGCTGCACACTAACGGCGTGTACGATGAGCGCAGACTGCCTATCAGAGGTGTTAAAGGTGTGCTCGTGACCATCAAGAGTTTCGCGGGGTACGGCTCGAACATGCCGTTGTGCTCTCACTTGAAAGGCCTTTGCGATGGAGGCAGCAAGCGTTTTCCATCACCAGAGCAATATCTCGATCTCGCGCTGATGGTCCCGAAAGAACATCCGGTTCTTCCACCAAAGCATGTTTTCCGTCTTCTGCCACCCCATAAGGGGTCGTCCGGCTTGGCTCAAGAAACTCCAGGTATGATAGTAGGGCGCGGGAGTCCAGTTCGAGACGTTGGGGTTCGGGTCGAGGGACGCAGCGTTCACACGCAGGTCGGCCCAGATGCTCCTAGGAACACGTCAGACTTGCATTCTCAGGGTACATGGACTCAACGGGTCGGTACTCTGAAACTTATCAAGGTCCGCTGCGGCGCCGACACGTATTCGCTTCGAGATGAGAAGAGAAGAGATTCAAGAAGATCGGGGCTAGATGTTGGAGGGAATGAGGCTGAAGGGATGGGCGCTTTCCGCGAAAGCTCTGGCGGGAAGCAGACTCCTTCGGAGAAGAAGAGCGAGCGACAAAGGATGGTGCGACAGGAGGTGGCGGAAGGAACCCTCCGCATGAAGAGGATGAGAGGAAAACCGGAGGCGTTGATGGGCGGGGATGGAGGTGGCGACGGAGAACGTGCCTCGGGAAAGAAGCCGACGAAGGAAGAGGGTGGGACGGCAAGTAAGAAAGCGAGGAGGCCCGATGGTTTGACCATCCGCGAAGGACAAGCCGCGGGTGGAGGAGATTCGGCCGATCCAGGTGTTGCGGCCTCGAGAGAACCTTCGGGGAAATCGAAACGGAAAGTGGCAGGTGAAGAAGGTGATGGCCAGAAGAAACCTCGAAGGCGGAAGACTGTTGAGGCGGCGAGCGGTGGCGAAGGGCCTGCCGGTCAGGAGTGCGACGAGGCGGCAGCGTTCTGGCTCGAATACGAGCGGAACGATGTCTGTGAAATCGTGGAGAAGGAGCTCCCCGTCCAACTGCTCATCGACCCCAGGAAGGTCTGCGACATCCCGCCTTGGAAAAGATATTACAACCACCAGAGTCTAAGTCGAGAAACTGTGGACGACATCAAGGATGCGATGCTGAGTCACTTCGGCGAGAAGAAGATCTGGACGAAAAACCCTCTCGTTTTGGCACCCATCTACAAGCCGGTGACGCGTAGGCCGGAGCAAGCTGACAAGGTTCACCAAGATATCTTCAAGCCAGAGGAAAAGGACAAGTACTGCTATTACCTTGTTAACGAACAACACACCATGGCTGCTGTGAAGGAGTTGGAGGGTGAGCAAATATTCGATTTGTGGAAGATGCACTCGTGGCCAGCGAGAGTAGTGTGGTTCTCCGACCGAGATTCCGCGGGGTATAGGCAGGTCAGTCTCAACGAAAACACGAGACACAAGATGCTTAAGCAGCGATCGCAGAAGACCGCGTTCTTGGACATGCGGGAGGCATGGGAGAATGAAGAAAGGCCGGTGGCCATTCAAGGGAACCCTTCCGGCAAGGAGGCCGAAAAACAAAAGTTCTTCGATTTCCAAAAGCTGATTTTGGGAAAGCGTCCGAACGGAGCTCACTGGACGTTGGCACAAAAAGATTCGTCGCTCGTCGATAAGGAGTATGTCGCTGCAGTTGGCAATGCATTGAGGCAGTGGATGCCGCTCGTGACGGCCGGCGACGACGTTTTCTGCAAAGCCATGAAATTCTACGTGAAATGGGCGGAGGGGAAGTTGTTGGGCGGCGACGACAAGACGCCATTATCGAGGCCGGGCAAATACATGCCAGACAAATCTCCGGGGCTGCAAGCAATTCCGGAGAAATGGGCTCGAAAGGGGCAGCTGGTGAAACGAAGATGAGGTGGCTGGTCCGGGTCCCGCCGCCTCCGACCAAAAAGAAAACGCAAGCGGACGACAAGTTTTTCGTGGTTGTGAAGGAGCCAGACATGTTCTGTTGGCAGTTTCTCGTCGACATGACCGATGTCGAGAAACTGTCGATCCTCGATGACATTCTCGCACTACGGGGAGTGTTCGTGCAATCCGCGGGCGGTCATCTGAAGCGTCAGCATAAACCTGGAATTAAAGACATGGTCGGAGCATCACACGGTCCACTTGCAAACGTACTCTTCCGCACGAGAAGGAGTCCCTCGACGACGCGAAGAAATTGTACGAGGACGACAGGTTCCCTAAATCTTTCGAAAAGTCTGTCCGTTCTATCTTGCGACGGACGGAAGAAGAAGTTCGAGACACGATCAGGGTCAGCGGAGATGTGAGGCACATTAAATGGCCCGACCTCAACCGGGTGACCAGCCTTATTCCTTTCGCTTTTCCGCCTTCCCAAGCTCACAGTCATGTCACTGCGATCCGTGAGGTTGTGCAACATTACGTGTGCAACCTGTATGTCCTCGATTTGTGTGATCCCACACTCCTCACAGACTGGCTAGAAGACGATTTCGCCAACTTGCAAGGCCTTCTACAAACACTTTCGCCAACGCACTGGGCACTTGTGATTTTTTTCCCCTCTCGTTGGAAGCTCAGTTTCTTGAAAGGCATGGCCAGGCTTAGCGTCCATCACGTCAGGACAGGGAAGTGGGTTCCTAATGCACAAAAGCAGGCCACTGTCCGGGAAGGCAATATGCTGGTTGAGGAGTGTGACCGCCTGTACGTGATTTTTAATGGCGAGAAGCTGGAAGACAACACATTCACAGTCTACCCGGCCAGTAGTCCGACAAAGCCTTCCCGTGCTCATGGTCGAAGTCCGGCCAAACACACGGTGGCGGGCCGCTCGAAAGTTGTCTGTTCGTCGGAACCATCATGACAGGTTGTGGCGTGTTTTGATATGGTGGAAGAGGAAAGGTTCTCTCGTAGCATGTGGGAGGACGGCGGCGTGACAAGTTCTCAAGGACCTGCTTACGGGGAGATGGAGCGGAACCCGTCCCGTCTACTTGGTCTACTCGAAAACTTTTGCAAAGCTGGTCAAACTGTTTTTTTCTTTGGGAAGGCGCATGCGTCTGTTGTGTGGGAACTCCTGCGCACCGGTCGGAACGTCGTCGCGTTGGAGAAGGAAGCGAAGATGATCGATTACCTTCACGAGTTCGTGAAGGCACACGTTGCAAACACTCGCAATGCTTGCGAGTTTGTCCAGACCACCGGCGAACGAAACTGGGATTCCAAACGTGACATGTATTGGAAATTGCCGGGGAGCGAATGGACGGACGTTTGGGACTTCGTTTTCGGACCCGGACCACCTGGTCCAACCGACCTCGAATACAGTCGACGAAGAAACCTGGTGTTCGCTGTGCTCAATTGGTACCACGGTGCACCCAGAGAGTCTGTCTCGCACTTCCTGAGAAGGCTGGAGCACGTTTACTTCACGCTGGCCGAACCGCTCACTCTCGAAAACTACAAGTCACAGTTTGACGAGGACGACCCTTTCGACGCTGAAGACATGGAGGAGCTGAGCGACTCCGAAACCTTCGATTTCGAGTCCATGCCACTTCCTCGGGTGGTTGGACAGGTTGGTGATGAAGAGGAAGGTGGCCCTCGGAGATATACCACGTCCCCTGCCGGTTTGAAGCGTGTGTTTCAGGGCGAACCAGTCGACGACCAATCGTTTGATGACGGGGAGGAAGAGAGAGACTATGATCACGAACCTTGTGACAGGCTCCCTGTGGACCATGATACCTAGCAGAATGACAGACTCTACTTCTTCGGCAAGCATCACCGGTTCACGTCGGAGGATGTCTGGGGACACAACGTCGTCTGGCACCCAAGGATATTCCAACCTGCTGTGAGGAATGGAATATGGGTCATGGCAATAAAGGAGGCCGATGACAAGTGGAGTGGACTGAAGAGACAGGGAGCGGGTGCATTTAAGAGAAAGGCAAGAACTGCTCTGGCGGAGCATTTGAGTCTCATGAACCCCGAGAGGAACGATCAGGACGTCGATGCGTATGCAGAACAAAAGCTACATGAGTTGTACGCCAACAACATGTTGGAGTTTCGAGTGCCTTTCTACGCACTCGAAACGGCACCGTCTCGTGGCATTGACTGGCGCATGCCGCAACCTCCGCCGGACGGTCAGCATCCGGGAGGGGGTGGTGGAGGAGACGAAGGAGACGAAGGAGGTGGCGGAGGAGACGGCTCACAGTTTGCTGGGAAGGGGACGGGCGAGACATCGTCGGTTGAGAAGGCGTCCGGCGGAAACGGGTCGGGCGGAAAGGGGTCGGGCGGGAAGCTGTCGGGCGGGAAGGGGTCGGGCGGAAAGCGTAGAACGTCCGGGAGTCCCCAGTATATGGAAACTGACCCCCACTACGTAGGGAGTCGAGATTCCGACATGCGAGCCGAGGCCACCCTTACGTCTGATCAAGTGCGAGTAGATTCGCACTTGTCTGCGAGGAGTTTGTTTCCCGTTGCCCAGGAGAGTCCATCCCGCCGTGCGCAGCAGAGGTCTCCTGTGCTCAACACCTTTCTCCTGAAAAAGGGCGCATCTTCGTTTTGCCTGGAGGGCGGGGTGCCTGCATTGCGAAGGAGCGAAGGTGTGACCTCGGGTTCCCTCGGCTCGGGGGACCGCCACAAACTCCGAATACATTCGGATTTGCTGACGTCGCCCTCCGCCATAAGTGCTCCTCGCGCAACAGTTTCGCGGGGCCAAGAAAATGTGACGTCCTGGCCCCCGCATCTTCAGTTGGACACAGGGTTGCCTTGCTCGATGTGTTGAGACTCGAGACTGGCGGTCTCGCGACGTGCTGGAGGGGCCCGCTCCAGAAGTGTTGGAGACCGTGGGTAGCGAGAACGAATGTCACACTCCTGGGGAAGACGAGCGCTCTCCGGGAACGCGTGCTGTACATCGGGAAGAGGAAACTCAATGCTGGCAGTCTCGCCAAGTGTTGGAGACCGGGGGTAGCGAGTGTGAACGTCATGCTTCGGAGGGTGCGTCCGTGGACACTGACAGCGAGCGTGCAGGAGCTCCGGGGGAAACGCATGCTGTACAGCGGGGAGAGGACACTCATCATGGGCCGGCTCGTGAAGACGTGAAATGGCTCCACGCACGAGCGCTGGTGAGCGGGACGTCCGAAGAGGTTCTGCACAGTCGCTCGGTTGTGGCCACGACGCGAGAGGGTGTCGTTAAGGGAGGCCAGTGGACGTCCGTGCAAGCTTCCGTTCTTGGCGACGATGAAGACGAAGAAGAACCCGCGGTGGAAGCTCGGGTTCATGGCGATGAGAAAGGTGGAGAACCCGTGGTGGAAGGCTGTGAGGTGACTGCCGACATCCGGGCGGATCCACAGTGGAAAGATGGTGATTCTTCGCCCACCCGTTGCGGTGAAGAACAGGGTGGTCGAGCGTCTGTCGTGAGCACCTCTCGGGGAATGGTGCTTCATGAAGCAATAGAGTTTGGTGACGACTCTGCAGCCACCGAGCTGGATAACGACTCAGGCGTGGCCGAGATGCAGAATTTTGAATCCTCCGTGGAAGGCGGTGAGGTGACCGTCAGCATCAAGATGGATCCATAGCGGAAAGATCATAATTCTCCGTCCACCGGTTGTGGTGAAGAACAGGGTGATCGAGCATCTGTCCTCAGTACCGATCGGGAAATGGTGCTTCATGAACCCATCGACTTGCCAAGCGACTTAGCTGCCACCGAGCTGGTTAGCGACACAGCCGTGACCGAGGTCCAAAACCTCGAATCGTGAGTGGACGTTGGCGCAGTGGCGCGACAGGAGGGCGAGTTCCCTCAAAGGGTTCCCGAGCACGGTAAGATTTGTGAATAGGACCACTTGCATATCTGTCACTGGCCAGCTCTGTGTTCATCCAAATTGATGTCATGGGCTAATGTACCTGTTACCACTAGTTAAAAAAAAACTTGTGGGCTGTGGGTTGTTTTCTATGTTCTACAGGTGTGAGGTCGTTAATGTCCCTGCCCATGAAGCCTTTAAAAGTCGTGCGCGAGAAACGCCTTTCAGGGAGGTCATTGGCCGCTTCACAGAAGAAGTCGTCAAGTGTAGGGTTGTTTAAAAGAGTCCAGATGCCTCGCCTTTCCCAGAGAACTGTCAGGGTTCTGAAGGTTTGTGGAATAGACAAGGAGGAAGGTCTGCGGAAACATTTGGCTGCGTCTATTGAGAGCGTTACTGCTTTGTCTGACGGGTCTGATGACGATGGCAAACGGGGTGTCTTGAAAGACCCGTGTCCTAAGTACATCGCGAAGGACACATTCAACAAGCGGGGATACAAGTTTTATGGGAGAAGGGCAGACAGTTCTTAGCCATTCCACCACGGGGTTTGTGCTCACTCCTCACACTTGTTCGTGGGTGTTTGTGCAGCTGGGGCTACATCATGTTTTTGCGTTCCGTTGCCTACTGCGGAGCTTAGCGCTACGGACTTGAGAATGTTGTGGAACGTCTGTGGAGATTACAGCAACGGCCACGAGGTGGTGTGCTCGGTTCGGAAAGGGGTCAGTTCAATTCCGTTGGGCAGAAAAAGTCTTCGAACTCTTGTTCAGGGGGAATGGCTTTCCGACGAGGTGGTGGAGTCGTACTTGGCCTTGCTTGCCAACGCTGCGTTGCCTGGGTGTCCCTCTCTTTACATTTTCAGTCCATTTTTCTACACCAAGCTCGTCCGTGGCGGCTATCGACATGATTGGGTTGCGAGATGGACAAAAGATGTGGATATTTTCTCGCACGAGATGGTCTTGATTCCTGTCCATAAACATGGAGTGCATTGGACCCTATTGTGTCTCCGAGAACAACGGCTGGAGTACTATGACTCTCTCGTATAAGACGATGGCAGTTTTTGTTCCGATGTGATTGCGAACTTCACGCAATACCTCCGTGATGAAGCAGTTTGTCATTATGGTCCAAAAACGAAAGTGGATCTCCAGGAGCCCAAGGTGGTTGTTCGTGGTGTCCCTGAACAATCGGACGGGTCGAGCTGCGATGTTTTCATGCTCGTCTTCGCTAGATTTCTTGCACGCGGCTGTCCGCCACCATTTCCGATAGCCTAAAGCGACATTCCAAACATCCGGCTGAGGATTGCGGTGGACATACTTCTAGGCGCTGAGTGATACCACTGTTGTAAAAATACGCGTAGTTTTTTTCTCGAAATGCCATAAGCAGAAGTGCGAATCTATTCCCACTTGATCTAGCAGTCAGCCAGTTCGAAATGTGCTGTTGTTTTCATGAGGTGCTGGATTGCAGTGGACGTTTTGGTCAAGTACAGGCTTAGGTGTCGATGTGAATATCCCAGCCTCGTGCTGTATCAATTTTTTAAGGGTTCTTCATTTCGTGGAACCTGTCATCTTTACTCGTAGAACTTTAGGCAGCGCCGTGCTTCCTTTGTTTGTTTTTGGGTTGTTCTCATTGCTTGCCGCGCAACATCAGCTAGAGGGTAGCAGCGGACTCTTACGTGAAGTAGAAGCTTAGATGCCGATGTAAATATCCCAGCCACGTGGTGCAGTTCCTTTTAAGTAGACGCTTACATATCGGATGTGAATATCCCAACTTTGTGCTCCTTTTGTTTATTTTCGGGTTGTTCTCCTTATGTCCTCTCAGACCGCGGCAGCACCGTGCTGCGTTTGTTCATTTCGAGGTTGTGCTCCTCTTTTACTCATGTGAAAGATATCGACGATTTATTCTTGGTCGCCAAATTGTTTCGTGCTTATCTCTTTCGTTCGCGAGACTTTGTTGTGTGAAAGCCCCTCTCCCCCGCCCCACCCCGACCACCTAGCTTTCATATGTTTTGGCTCGTCCTTGTTCTGCGTGTGCCGCCCCGTTTTAAGGTTCACCCCCTCTGTTTGTTTCGATTGAATGTTGTCTGTTGGTTCCTTATGACAGTTGCGAACTTGTTCTCCATTCGGAAACCAATTGTCGCCAGAATGTATGTGTGCTTGAAGTTGTTTTACTGGTTCAGCGGTGCACTGAGTGATCACCAATTTTGTTATCCCCGGAATACATCTCGTGCTCTCCAGGGAATGCTGGTTGTTGTTTCCGTATGACAAATACGAACATATTCGCACTTCGGATGCCGTACATTTGTGATTGAACTGTCGGTTCCATGTGAGAAATGAGAACATATTCGCACTTTGGCTCCATGTACTTTGTGATATTTGGAAAGTCTCCGTGCACTTTGTAATATGGGATTGTATGATATTTCGCGTTCAATGACTTTTTGAAACGTCTCTGTGTGCTTTGCAATTTGCCCTCGAATGAATTTTCTGCATTGAATGGTTTCTGGTACCTGTTCGTGTGCTGTGAGACTTCACCTTTGGAAAAACACTAGGCAACTTGAGATGTTTTCACCTCGATGTTTGTGATGTCTCTGTGTGCTTTGCAATTTGACTTGTGCTTGAAGTTGTGTAACGGATCCAGCGCTGCACTAAATGATTGTCAATTTCGTTATCCCCGGAATACATCTCGTGCTCTCCACTTGATGCTGGTTGTTGTTTCCGTATAAGAAATGCGAACATATTCGCACTTTGGATGCCGTGCATTTGTGATTGAACTGTTGGCTCCATATGGGAAATGAGAACATATTCGCACTTTGGCTCCATGTACTTTGTGATTTTTGGAAAACCTCCGTGCACTTTGCAATGTGGCATTGTATGATATTTTGCGTTCAATTTGGAAAGTCTCTGTGCTTTGCAATTTGCCCTTGAATGAATTATCTGCATAGAATGGTATCTGGAAACTGATCGTCTGCTCTGAGTCTTAACCTTTGGAAAAACAGTGCGCAACTTGAGATGTTTTCACCTCGATGTTTGCGATGTCTCTGTGTGCTTTGCAATTTGACTTGAGATGTTTTCATCTCGTTGTTTGCGATGACAAGAGATACTTGTATGAATGGATATGAATCTTCTACACAGAAAGATTTGATGGCGTTTTCAACCTGTGATATAGAAATGACAAGCCAATGTCCATATTAAATTGTCGCGCTGATGGACTGCGCAACTGCTTCTCCATCAAAGTGCGAGTTCAATCGCACTTCTGGTGTGAGCCTTGAGCAATTCCCTCGCGCTTTGCTTCACGTCGAGTAGGGGATCGAACGCACCGCCTGTAAGCACATGCACATCACGAAACAAGAGCACGTCCCAATTGGAACATCGTCGGGTCCTCACCTCATCGACTCTCAAGATGACTACAGCCAACAGCGGTAGGATGGCAGGTCCGCCTATCCGATGTGGATCTCACGGTGGAGTGCGAAATTCTGCACTCAAAGATCCACACCGGGTAGAAGGTCCTGCAAGCAGCCGCTGCTTGCTTGTAAGGCATCTTATGATGTGTCGATATAACCGACATCCAGAACTGCTTGGTGAGCATCTAGTGCTACGCCAATATGTTCTGAACACGACCGCAAGGTCCCCTAAGAGTGTTCTTTGTCGGGTCCTCACCACATCGACTCTCAAGATGACTACAGCCAACAGCGGTAGGATGGCAGGTCCGCCTACCCGATGTGGATCTCACGGTGGAGTGCGGAACTCTGCTCTCAAAGATCCACACCGGGTAGAAGGTCCTGCAAGCAGCCGGTGCTTGCTTATAAGGCATCTTATGATGTGTCGATATGACAGACATCCAGAACTGCTTAGTGAGCATCTACTGCTACACCAATATATTCCAAACATGGCACCAAAGTCCCTTGACAGTGTTCTTTGTCGGGTCCTCACCTCGTCAACTCCCTCAAGATGACTACAGCTGACAGCGGTAGGACGGCAGGTCCACCTATCCGATGTGGATCTCACGGTGGAGTGCGAAACGTTGCTCTCAAAGATCCACACCGGGTAGAAGGTTATGCAAGCAGCCGCTGCTTGCTTGTTAGGCACCTTATGATTTGTCGATATAAACGACATCCAGAATTCCTTGGTGAGCATCTAGTGCTACGCCACTAAGTTGCAAAAACACGGCAGCAAAGTCCATTGAGAGTTTTCTTTGTCGGGTCCTCACCTCATCGACTCCCTCAAAATGACTACAGCTAACAGCGGTAGGATGGCCGGTCCACCTATCCGACGTGGATCTCACGGTGGAGTGCGAAACTCTGCTCTCAAAGATCCATACCGGGTAGAAGGTCCTGCAAGCAGTCGCTGCTTGCTTGTAAGGCATCTTATGATGTGTCGATATAACCGACATCCAGAACTACTTGGTGAGCTCTAGTGCTACACCAATATGTTCTGAACACGACCGCAAGGTCCCCTAAGAATGCTTTTGGCACTGGAGTCCTTTGACCGACGACTGTTTGGTACTTCGTGAAGGTTGACACTTCTTGAAGGTGGTCTACCACTTCTTAAAGGTGGTCAGTCACCAAACAGATCACGACCTGATATCGACCTCGATAACTGCGAATTGACTCGCTGTTCAACTAGAGT